TCTTTGAGTCGTATTACCCGTGACTTAAATTGTAGTGTGACATTTTTTCCTAATCATTGTCTTTTTCAGGACCTTATCACGAAGAAAAGGATTTGCAGTGGTAGAGAGGATCATGGTCTCTACATTTTGGATCAGACAGACAAGTTGGCTCATTCATCTATTCTATTACCATCCACCAAGGAATACATTTGGTTGTGGCACCGTCACTTAGGACACCCCTCTTTTTTATTACTTAAGCATTTATTTCTTTCTGTTTTTTATAAAAAATAATGTGCTAGATTTTCAATGTGAGTCTTGTCAACTTGGAAAACAACACAGAGCCTCTTTTGCTCCTATTAATAAAAGTTCAGTTCCATTTTCTTTTATTCATTCTGATGTATGGGGTCCCTCCCGTTTTATGTCTTTAACGGGTCACAAATGGTTTGTTACCTTCATAGACTATGTTACATGGACTCGGGTGCAGGTGTCGGGTGCCGGTATGTATCTAGAGGTCGGACTTGTCAAACCATAAATTTAAGGGTACGCGGACTTGGCAAAAAAATATCATATTTTTATATTTTTAATCTGGCATGTGAAATAAAATGGTGTTATATATAACTTACAGTGTCAAAAAGACATTCCTAGCAATTATACAACAATATGTACATATAATAATAGTGCTATATACAATTATATAAGAAGCGTCCGTTGAAAAGTATCCAACACATATCACATATCCTTGTCCAAGTGTCGGGTGTCCAACGCGAGTATGTGATTTATTTTGAAGAGTCCATATAACATAGTTCATAGATGATTGTTCCCAGGCCACTTGGGTATATTTGATGAAAGACAAAAATGAAGTGTTTTCTGTGTTTCAAAACTTTCATAAAATGGTTTGTACTCAGTTTGGAGCGGTTGTAAAAATTTTACGTTCTGATAATGGGGGGAATATATTGACTCTGGTCTTGCCACTTACTTCGCTTCTCATGGCATTATTCACCAGACTTCCTATACTAATACCCCTCAACAAAATGGTGTTGCAGAACGAAAAAATCGCCATCTCCTTGATGTCGCCCATTGTCTCTTTTGAGATGCGGGTTCCTCAATCCTATTGGAATGAAGCGATTCTCACTGCCGCTTATTTGATTAATCGCCTTCCTACCTAAGTCCTTCAAAAACAAACCCCTCTTCACATTTTGTTCGGCTCTTCCTCTTCCGGGTTCTCCATTTCTCCTAAGACCTTTGGCTGTGTTTGCTTTGTCTATAATCATTCTTCCATTTGTGGTACATTAGATCCTAGGTCTCTTAAGTGTGTCTTTCTGGGTTATTCTGCCACCAAAAAGGGTTATAAGTATTATCATCCTCCCCCTCGCAAATGGTTTGTCTCCATGAATGTCACTTTCTTCAAGTCTCAATCTTACTTTCCGACCTTCCCGGTCTCACAGTCATCCTTTCAGGAGAGTCTTGGTGTGAAGAGATTCCTGTTCCACGTCTACCAGTGGTTGAATAGATAGAGAATGATGAGCCAACAGTTGTTGGAGAAAAGAAAACAGGAAAAGTTTATATCAGGGACAAGGATAGACAGCAAGTCACCTGGATGCAAGAGCCTACTCTTTCTCCACTTCTGCCACCTTCTTCGCCAGATAAGTGTCCAGAGTCAACCCTATTTCCTGAGAGTCCAGGTAATTCTAATTCTAGTACTCCTATTCCTGATGTTTCAGATCTTGATATTTCTATTGCTAATAGGAAGGGAGTTAGGTCTTGTATTCAGCATCCTATTACTAATCATGTCTCTTATTCTAATCTGTCTTCCACAAATAAAGCATTTCTATCTAAGGTGTCTTCTATGAGTCTACCTACCCATTTTCAGGATGCTCTATCTATTCCTGAATGGAAATATGCCATGATGGAAGAAATGAGAGCTCTAAGCAAAAGTGGCACTTGAGAGTTAATGGAGTTACCTAGAGGTAAACATCTAGTTGGGTGTAAGTAGGTGTACACGGTTAAACACGAAGCAGATGATTCTATAAAACGGTACAAAGCATGATGGGTTGCTAAGGGCTTCACTCAGACTTATGGGATAGATTACCAGGAAACATTTGCACCGGTTGCTAAGATGAACTTTGTGAGAATCTTACTCTCTTGCTACAAATTTGGGTTGGCCGCTTCATCAGTTTGATGTGAAGAATGCCTTCCTTCATGGAGACCTAGCCGAAGAGGTCTATATGGATATTCTCCCTGGTTTTGTGGATGCTAAGTCCAAAGGTAAAGTATGCAAGCTCCGAAGTCGCTTTACGGAGTAAAGCAATCTCCTAAGGCGTGGTTTGAAAGGTTTGCTCAAGCTATGCTGAAATATGGATTCAAGCAAAGTCAACCTGATCACACTTTGTTTGTGAAACCCTCTTCACATGATAAGACCATAGCTCTCATTTTTTATGTTGATGATATTGTTCTAACAGGGGATGACTTTGATGAGATCCCTCAGTTGAAGGAATACTTAGCCAAGGAGTTCGAAATCAAAGACTTGAGTAATTTGAAGTATTTCTTGGGTATTGAAGTAGCTAGGAGCAAGGATGGCATCTTCATATGTCAGAGAAAGTATGTACTTGACTTGCTAAAGAAAACTGAAATGCTTGGGGGAAGACCATGTCATACACCTCTAGAATCAGGCCAGAAACTCGTTGAAGATCAAGAGGGAGAGCCAATGTGTAAAATAAATTGATAGAGAGAGATACAGAGAGAATGAATTATGTATTGATTGATATTATTGATGATGATATATTTATTTATTACAATGATTCATGATTCCTATATATAGAAGAGGGTGAGTGTGTAGTAGGTAAGGAGTAGGTGAAGTGGAGGTGGTAGTGGTGTAGTGGGTTAGGTTTAGTGGAGTAGGTGAGATGGTAGTGGTGTAGTGGGTTAGGTTTAGTGGAGTAGGTGAGATGGTAGTGGTGTAGTGGGTTAGGTTTAGTGGAGTAGGTGAGATGGTAGTGGTGTAGTGGGTTAGGTTTAGTGGAGTAGGTGAGATGGTAGTGGTGTAGTGGGTTAGGTTTAGTGGAGTAGGTGAGATGGTAGTGGTGTAGTGGGTTAGGTTTAGTGGAGTAGGTGAGATGGTAGTGGTGTAGTGGGTTAGGTTTAGTGGAGTAGGTGAGATGGTAGTGGTGTAGTGGGTTAGGTTTAGTGGAGTAGGTGAGATGGTAGTGGTGTAGTGGGTTAGGTTTAGTGGAGTAGGTGAGATGGTAGTGGTGTAGTGGGTTAGGTTTAGTGGAGTAGGTGAGATGGTAGTGGTGTAGTGGGTTAGGTTTAGTGGAGTAGGTGAGATGGTAGTGGTGTAGTGGGTTAGGTTTAGTGGAGTAGGTGAGATGGTAGTGGTGTAGTGGGTTAGGTTTAGTGGAGTAGGTGAGATGGTAGTGGTGTAGTGGGTTAGGTTTAGTGGAGTAGGTGAGATGGTAGTGGTGTAGTGGGTTAGGTTTAGTGGAGTAGGTGAGATGGTAGTGGTGTAGTGGGTTAGGTTTAGTGGAGTAGGTGAGATGGTAGTGGTGTAGTGGGTTAGGTTTAGTGGAGTAGGTGAGATGGTAGTGGTGTAGTGGGTTAGGTTTAGTGGAGTAGGTGAGATGGTAGTGGTGTAGTGGGTTAGGTTTTTTTTTTTTTTTTTTTTGAAAAATGGAACACAAGAAAGATAAGATAAATAAATAAAGGTATTCTTTTTGGGGGGTGAGGGAGTCGGTGAGTGGTCTGGAAAGTTGACAAAATGGTGGGTATCCTTGAGTGGAGAGAGAGAGAGAGAGGAAAAAGTATGTTTGCAAACTGCCAAAAAAGAGGATCATCAGGGTGTGGGTCTGTCAGCAGAGAACAGATGGACAGCAGGACCTTTGAGTTGAGATTCTGATTCAAACCACCATCAACTTGCAGCTGTTCAAAGTACGCATTACGTAAGCGTGCATGGTCACGAGCTTCCTCCCGCATTTCAGAGTACATATTTGCCACTGCTTCTCCAGTTTCTAGCCAAACAGGAGCTGTCCGGGATGAACTCCGACTTTGTAATCTATCACCATAGATGCTCCTCCCCTGCCCGCTGCTGTAAGAGCTAGCCAAAAGATGTGCACTTCTACTTGAGCCAACACTAGCATCAGCAGAACCATTTCGTTCATACTTCCATATACCAGAATCCTGAGATGACATTTTCCTGACAGCTGAAGCAAAATCAGTAGCACCTCTCGTAGGGATTGAAGAGCTAGATTTGAATAAAAGCATGCTGTCCTTGCTGGAATACCTGTAAGGACTACCACTTTGTTGGATATCATCTCCAGCATATTTTGGCAAACCATTTTGACCATCATGCACAGAAAGTGCAGGAAAATCCAGTGCACTGAGATTTGGTGCTGACAAGGCCTTTGTTATTAGCCCAGCAATACTCAGATTACTATGCATTTAGAGGCCATGAGGTGTACCAAACACCATTCAAGGAGGGGAAGAAAAGAGGGTCTGAGAAGCTTGATCAGAAGCAGGTTGTCCATAGGAAGTCCATTGATGCATTTGGACAGAGGACTTCACAGTATAGAGGTGTCACAAGGCATAGATGGACCGGTAGATATGAAGCCCATCTATGGGACAACAGTTGTAAGAAAGTTGGAAGAGGCAGGAAAGTGAAGGTATGTGTACAAAATTCCAGCGGGCAGCGGAGGCAAGGTTGCCGGCCGGCTGCCCGCCGGTGAGAAAACAAAATACGGGCCTAAATCTTATGGCTCTGATACCATGTAGAAATTTAATGTATAAAGAGAAATAAAGAATTGTATTATTGATTCATGTATTGATATAATGTTATATTTATTACAATGATTCATGATTCCTATATATAGAAGAGGGTGAGTGTGTAGTAGGTAAGGAGTAGGTGAAGTGGAGGTGGTAGTGGTGTAGTGGGTTAGGTTTAGTGGAGTAGGTGAGGTGGTAGTGGTGTAGTGGGTTAGGATTAGTGGAGTAGGTTTAAGTGGGTGAAGTAGGTGATAGGTTTTAACACAATGGATAGTGGGAGATACCAGAGATTAGTGGGCAAGCTCATATACGTATCCCACTCCCGTCCAGACATTGCCATTGCCGTGAGCATGGTGAGCCAGTTTACGCATGCTCCTAGAACTTCCCACTTTGAGGCCGTTATAAGAATCCTGAGATACCTGAAGTCTTCTCCTAGAAAGAGTCTTTATTTCTCAAAGCATGGCCATCTCAGTGTAAAGGCATTTACTGATGCAAATAGGGTTGGATCTGTCACTAACAGACGCTCAACTTCTGGGTACTACACATTTGTTGGTGGCAACCTAGTCACATGGCGAAGTAAGAAATAGAATGTGGTTGCTCGATCTAGTGCTGAGATAGAATTCAGGGGCTATGGCTCAGGGTGTATGTGAGTTACTATGGATTAAACTATTGTTGGGAGACTTGGGAATCCATCAGATTGACTCCATGCGACTATACTGTGACAATAAGGCAACAATCAACATAGCTCATAATCTAATTCAGCATGATAGAACTAAGCATGTGGAGATTGATAGACACTTCATCAAAGAAAAACTCACTAGTGGCACCATTTGTATTCCATTTGTGAAGACTGGGGACCAACTAGCTGATGTTCTTACTAAGGGACTAAGGAGCAAACCCTTTCATGGCATTCTCAACAAGCTGGGCATGAGAGATATCTTCGCACTAACTTCAGGGGGAGTGTTAAAATAGGAAATAGTATAATAGGAAATAATTGATTGTATTCTTATTTAGTCCCTTGATTGGTGTAATGGCTGGACCATATATTCAGGACCATATATTATGCCTTATGGCACTCCTATAATTACAAAGAATTATCAATATAAAAGGGAATGAAGTCTAACTCATTCCCTAACTCTTTCTTTTCTCTAAAGCTACAGTATCAAAATAAAGTATATTCCAAATGTCATGCAAAATGCTAATCCCATGCTCCTGATGTTTCAATCATATGGAAATTAAGTGCTATTAGAAATTAAGTGCACCCATACCTTTTCTCTATGCGAGCAACTCCCATATGCTTCCATTCACAGGAAAAGGAAGTTCATCCAGTGGATAGGATCCGCACTATTCTGAATAATAAGATCATCTTATCAGGGCAGCAATCTGAGATGTTTGGCCTCCAAAGTTACCCACGTACACAAATGTGAACTTACTTGCACTGAAATGCATAGTACATTGTCAATTATGTGTGCATGACGCAAAGATATCTTCAATTAAAGTGGCTTTTTTTTCTTTTCTTTTTTTCAAACATTCATGGAACTTTGCTGTTTGGAGCACTTGCAATATCAGCATCTGTTTCCTTACGAAGGGTCACCGAATGTTTTGTAGTAGATACAGAGTGACATTAAGAAAAAAGTCAAATCTCGCTTATTTGCATTGGAGAGCAAAATCAAGACTTCAATGTGCTTATCCATCTTCAGCAACAAACAAAAAACTAGCTATCATACGGTATTTCATAACAAATATGTACACCCCATCAGCAGACATCAACAACTTGCAAATAAAAAAATAAAAATAAAACTTTTTTGGAAGAAGAGCTAAAAGAAACCACACAGCAGATTCATGAAAAGACAATTTGGATCTTCTTTGATGGAATTAATTTTATACAGGAAAGAACAATCATTTTCCTTGAATAAAAAGAAAGGCAACAATTTAAACATATGGAGCAAAACGCAATCACAAACTAGACTAATATATGACTGATAGGTGATCATGAGTTCCTATGTCACAAGTGCATAGAGAGATCATCAAAGATGTATCTTTTCATTTTCATCCTCAAACAAACTAATTAGGAAAAAGCACTTTTACCAAGAACATATTTATTCCAACAATGACTAGGGAATGAAACAGCAGCCAGAACACCAACTAAACTATATTAGGATATATTATAAATTTATATTGCATGGTTAATCTGCATGTGATGATATACTATTTTTCAATTCAGCATCAATCTCAGTGGTCCCTTCTAGGTCCAGCCTATTATCTAGATTGTAATATACTTTTTAGCCAGTTTTTCCCAACAAACAACTTATTCCTCACTACAGATACTTGTTTTTCTTAATGGAGATACATCATTATAATTTTTAATTATTTACAGAGACTACTTTTAAAGCAAAACTGTATTTGGGACCTCTTAAATAGTAAATCGTAAATGATTATAAAAGTTCACTGGCAGTGCATATTTCCTTTATGGAGTTGTGTCAAATCACAATTTCTTAAAGGCAATATTTAATCACCCCAAAGAAACTATTTTGACATGGGATAATACTACTTTACATAGAACCCAATTACTGATGATCCTGTCAAGCATTATTAGCATACTTTTAGAGAAAAATTAAAAGAAAAAAAGAAAAAAAAGAAAAAAAGAAAAAAAAAAGAAAAATGAAGAAACAAGAGAATGAATTGGGATAGGGAAGCAGCTGAAAAAAGCTTTACAAAACCAGAGAAGAAGGCACCTCTAGGCACTATCCTTTAGCCTTTGGCCCAAGAGTTCCTTCCTGCCCTTCAAACATTTCATTGTTATTCTATTTAGCTGACAAGCATGGTTATGGACTACGGCATTACACGGACAAGCAAACACGTCATTTCCTTAAAAATTAGAACAAGGGGACATATATGTAAATATATTATAAATCCATATCAAATAGCAACCTTATTTGAATCAAATTAGCGATAAAAAAACACAAACAAGAACGATATTATCAAAATATCAAAACAACAAAACCACTAAATAAAAATTCAAGAAGCAAACATCCACGTAATTTTCCATCTAATTGTCATTAAAAATTTCGTAATTCCACCATTTGACACATATAATCAAAAGATTGTGCATCCAGAAATTTGGCAAGAACTACACAAAATATCTAAATATAAACCAAAAAAAGATTATCTCAGATGTGTTGGACACTAATACGTGAGTCTAGATCAAGTATTCACATTTAATGGTTGTTAGGTGATAGCTTATTCTCCTTTTTTTGAGAATTTATTTAGCTTTTCTTCCTTTTTATTTAAATGTGTGCTAAAAGTGATGGGGATCAAGGAAGCAAAAGGCATCAATTGGAAGATTAATAATTTTAGGAAATTTAGTTTTTAGGATTTTGTTTCTATTTTTATTTATTACATTATTGGTTATGAAATACTTATATATATATATATGGGGATTGTGCACGAAAATAACTCACGTTTTGCTCTTTCTTCTTTCTTCAAAACTTCTTTAACTTCTGCAAAAGTCTAAGTACATAACAAAATGTGAAATGCACCAAGGCTGCTATTTGATTTCTAGGGATTGGGCTGCTATTTGCCATCCTTAGTGGTGGATGTTTTATTTTTCGTTCTTTCACTTTTTTCTGCTTTGATTTCTAGTCATTGTATGAGGACTTCTTGTCCGCACCTTGTTTTCACCTTTTGTTCTCAATAAAATTTTGTTGTTGCTGCTCAAAAAATAAATAAATAAATGCGCTGAGGCTGGGCTTATAGATCGCTGCTGATGGTATGTGTGGCTTCTTATGGAGATTAATAATTTTGAAGAAATTAAAAATGTTTTAACTTGTGTTTCAATAGATCTTGTGCAATATGAACGAACCAAGCAATAGAAGTTAACAAGCATTTTCTCATGAAAACTTCTGCTTTAAAGGCAACATTTGTGAGGTTAAAAATAAAAATATAAAATATGGTAGAATATTCAAATCACAGAAATAGTGCCCCCTCTCCCTCCCTCTCTTGCGAGTCCACGAGCAAGTTGATATGCACCAATTTGAGAAGTCTTGTCATCAAACATGATTTTGTCATCTATAATCAAAGGGTCATATATATATATATATATGTATATATATTTTCACTTGATAATTTATAAAATAAAAAAAATAAAAAATCCACTTATCTAGTCTATTGCCATGTGCTATTTATTAATTTCATATATATACATATATATGGACTCATTTGGGAACTTGGCTTTTAGGCTTAAAAAATAATAATAAAATAAAATAAGTCAAAAAAACACTAAAAAGCCAAAATCATGTACACCAGTCATTCACTTTTTCCTATAAAACTAAAAAAATCATTCCTAAACACAAACTTTTTTTACATTATCAAAATTGAAAAAGCCAAAAAATCGCTAAAAAATCCATACCCCAAACGAGGCCTATATATATTGAAGAAATTCAAAGTTCTCAGTCATCTATTTCATTTGCTCTTCTCCTACCTTCATCTCTTCCCTCTTCACAAGGTCATGTTAGCATGCACTAAGTTTATATGCCTTGTCTTTCATAATTCCTCTTCATCTCTACATATTTCCCTACGCGAATTATGGGCAGTGGAATTAATTACCCTCCATTACTCTCAAACTATGTTACATGGACTCTTCAAAATAAATTGCATACCCGTGTTGGACACCCGACACTCAGACAAGGATATGCAATATGTGTCGATACTTTTCAACGGACACTTCTTATATAATTGTATATAACACTATTATTATATGTACATATTGTTGTATAATTGCTAAGAATGCCTTTTTGACACTGTAAGTTACATATAACACCATTTTATTTCACATACCAGATTAAAAATATAAAAATATGATATTTTTTTGCCAAGTCCGCGTACCCTTAAATTTATAGTTTGACAAGTCCGACCTCTAAATACATACCCGCACCCGACACCCGTGCCCGAGTCCATGTAACATAGCTCTCAAATCTCAAATGGTAAACAGTTACTCGTATACCTATTTCTTTAGACTTTACTTGGTAACCTGTATGAGAAGAAGCACACACTCTTCCAAGAAGGTAGTGTGTCTGTGTTGAACACAACACTCATGAGACACTCCACGAAACATGTTGGACAAGCATCCAAACGTGTCCTATTAGCTTTTCAATTTTTAGAACCTAACACCCTACTGACACTTGGGACACGTGTTCATCACTTAACCATATATGAAACACATTGTAAGTTTAAAGAAAATAACTTGGGAGACAATATATGAATTTATACTTTTACTCCTATTAAGGCTTCTTTGCATAATTGACAAGTGTGGCTGTTATAACTAACATCCAGCTGGCATTTGGATTAGTTAGAGTAGTTGTGAGCTACTTAGCTCAAGTGCATAGATATATATATATATATATATATGAGAGTTGTGAACATTACAATATATAAGAAGTAAACACAATTAAACTCTTCATTTATGTTTCCTTCCTCTTCTTTAGGATTATTGATTCTGCAATCCTATTATGGTATCAGGGCTTGTCAAGACCATTTAACAATGATGGCATATCCTTCAGCATCTTCTACTTCAGTTTCTTCAGATTAA